CCAAGTGCTGGGATCAAAGGCGTGCGCCACCACTCCCAGCTATGATTGTTCTTTTAAATTCTGTGTCATAGGTTACCTCTGAGAAGTTCTGATTGTAGAACTCTTCTGTAGAATTGGTGGTGGGTTTGGTGGAGATATATCACTTGTTTTTCATATTATTATTTTATTGTGGTTTTGGCATGTGGATTTCTTTTGTTGCTTGTGATTCTGGTATGAAACTCGAGCCTGCCTTTCTTGAGTTAAGTTTTAGTCTGTTTGTATTATTGGTGTTGCTTGGTTGTTTTCTGGTTGGGTATTAAAAGTTAGTTGGTCTAGGCTTCGGGTTCTCTTTTTTGGTTTTATATTGGAGGGACCAGATGGATACAGGCAGGTTAAACAGAAGCTCTGCAGGAGAGTGAAACAACCTTGGCTAGTCAGGCACACTTCAGTAACCTCAATGGAACAGGACCAAGGTCCAAGGAGAGGAGATGGGAAAGAGTTGTACAGGCTGTGGGAAGGACTATAGATGGTTCCAAGTCAAGGAATGGGCCTGGCAGGATTTGGATAGTTCACCCTGGGAGGCCTTGCCAGGTGCTCCTGTGCAGTTTCAGGACAGGCACAAAGAGAGGTGATAGGACAAGGAAGTGAAGGTTCCTACCAGCTAGCAGGAAGTCTGAGCCCTGGCAAAGTGTGAGGGACTGCAGATGCTCCAAAGCAGGGGGATAGGCATGGTGGGATTTGGGGAGCTCACTCCCAGAGGCTGAGTCAGGCACTTTCACACAGTCACAGATAGGCAGGTATACAAGGAGAGGCAATTAAACAAGGAAGTGCAGGTCTTTACTCTCAGTTGTTTTAATTTGCACTTCCCGATGGCTAAATATATTGAAATTAAAAAAAAATTATCCATTGCATTTCCTCGACTGAGAGCTCTCTGTTTAGTTCCTTGCCCCAATTTTTAAAAATATTTTATTGAATTTTTGTGTATTTCACACATAAAACCATCTTTATACTGCCTTCTCCTTTGTCATCCCCCCCCGCCCCCACCACTGGAGTTCATACATTCTGTCATTCGTGTTAGGTCTATCATGTAAAGTTAGTGTCCCAAGATGTCCCTCAGTGCAAGTTCATCCACTGGGATTTAGCAGCCTTTCTAGAGTCTCTCCCTTCAAGATCAACTCTTCCTCACCTAGCAGTAATCAGCTGCCAATAATTCTTTGACTAAGATTGGGGCCTGCTGTTCGTTTCCACATTTGTGTGGTGGGCTTTTGTCTGCCTAAGTTTGCATGGGTCTTGTGCATGCTGACACCATTGCTGTAGGTTTGTATGAGAAGGGTCCCAGGCATATGTAGGACTATTTCCATATGGTCATATGCACCTCCTCCCTGGCTCTTACAATTTTTCTGCCCCCTCTTCCAAAACAGTCCCTGAGTTCTGGATGGGTGGACCTCAATATAGAAGTCCTGTCCAAGGATCCACACTCTGCAGACCCTTATTTTCTTCATTTTAGACATATGTGGCTTTTTGTCTTTCTGGCCCTCTGCTACACAAGAGAGCTTCATTTATGAGAACTGAAAAATACTTGTCTTCTCTTCATCCCTGGTTCTGTGAATCTTAGGTATAGAGACTGCATCCTAGCCTTGTCCTAATTTTTAATTGAGTCCTTTTTCATGTTTAGTTTTTTCCCCCTTTAACAATCTCTTATCCCACACTTTCCTCTCCTTGCTCTTTTAAACTTCCTATATGCATTACATAAATATTATCTCTATTGTTTTTTATGGTATATGTGGGGCCTGTAATACGTGCATGTGTGTGCATGCATATGTGTGTGTGTGTGTTAAAATATTTCCTATTCTGTAATATGCCTCTTCACTTGAATGATGGTGTCTTTTGCTGTACAGAAGCTTTTTTAATTCTATGAGGGCTATTTGTCACTGTTGGTCTTAATGCTTAAACTATTGGGATCGTGTTCAGAAAGTCCTTCTCTGTGTCCGTAAGCTCCAACAAATTCCCAGCTTTCTTTATCAGACGCATGGTATCTGGTCTTATGTTGAATCCTTGATCCATTTAGAGTTGAGTTTTGTAGAAAGTGAAAGATAGGGATCTAGTTTCATTATCGTATATGTAGCTATTCAATTGACAAGCATCATTTGAAGATGCTATCTTTTCTCCAGTTGGCCTCTTTGTCAAAGTTAGGTGGCTGTAAATGCATACACTTAAATTTGAGTCCCTAATTCTATTCCATTGTTTAATGTGTCTGCTTCTATACCAGTACCATGTTGTATTTATTACTATAGTAGCATAATATACATAGCTCTGTGGTATAATTTGAAATCAGGAATAATTATTTAATTGGTCCTATTGCTTGAATGGATAATAAAAGTGTGGGGAAAGGGGAGTAACAGAATAGGAAGGGTTAAATGGGATGTGGGATGGGAGGCCAGGGAAGAGGGGTAGTACAGAGAGGAATGAGTAACACTAAAAACCTTTTGAAAAAGTCATATAGAAACCTAGTACTGAAGAAGCTTCCTGAAACATACATATACATAATATACATATACATATATAAAAAGTGTTAAATGGAATTACCCTGTAACAGGTGGGCAGTTCCTCTTCTGGTCACCAAAGGCTAGCAAATAAAAAGATCAATGCAAGGAATGGGCTCTCTCTTTTGGAAGTCCATTTGGAGGTGTTTCCAAGGATGAGGGATCATTGAGGAGGAGGTGTGGAATGATCTTATGACCCAGAAATGGAAGATAGAGAAATTAGAACAGAAATTATAGGCACAACAGGGAAATCCTACATATGAATATACAAAAACTCAGCATGGAGGGGGGAGTTGGGCAAGATGCCTGAGACCTAGCTGAGGAATTTTTGGAATCTGATAGCTATTGGGTAGAGGGATTCAGTTTTCTTCAAGGGTGTAACACTGAGTATGTTTGCCAGGCTCCAGAGGATGGGCCCACATCCAGGAGTATTTGAGGAACACAAATTAAACTCAATAAACCTTAAAAAATAATAGCGCACATGAAGTGAGTGGGGATCAGGAGATGGAGGTGGGGGGGTCTCTGAGAGGAGATTGGGGAGTGATGTCTGAACATGATCAAAGTGCATTATATAAAATTTGCAGTCAATAAAATTATTTTAAAAAATTCTAGCCTTGAAATACCAATAAGAATGCTCTTAATTTTAAATAATACTTGTGTTTGGCATTTTTTTACAGAAGACTTCAATTCACACACATTTATCTATCTTGAATTTTCCAGTGTAGTTACAATATTCCTTTCATGGACATATGGAGTGTATTTCTTCACCTGTGAAGCTCATCTGGTATTAGGTAGTTTTATTTTCTTTGTAGACTCTGTTGAGAGAAATGGAGTCATTCAAAGGACCTCTGTGTCCATCTACTACTCTCTGTTGCAATGTTGGCTGTACCATGTGACCAGATTCAGAATGTGCTGAGATGAGAACATATGTAGAGCATTGCAGAGTCGATCCAACCCAGGCCACCCTCCACCAACCTAGAGCCGACACACGCTGAAATATGAAATATTTCAATGAAGACTAATAGAGCAACCCCAGCTGACTCAGACCTGCCTGACTATAGTTGAATAGGGAGATCAGAAAGAGTAGGATATTTCCCAACATGGATATCTATGTGAGAAAGTAGAAAACTGACAGGCATGGTAGCACATGCCTTTAGTTCTAGCACTCAGGAGGCAGAACCAGGAGGAACTTTGTGAGATTAAGGCCAGCCTGGTCTATATACCAAGTGCCATACCAGGCCAGCAGGGGCTACAGGGAGACCCTGTCTCAAAAAGACCAAAAAAAAGGTATATATTCAGAAAAATTGATGGTATTTGTTCCGATATTTGAAGATTCTATTCATAATGATCCAATCATTCACATTTATTTCATACAACTAGTCTAATAAGTGAACATTGTTGGAGTTCTATTTCAGCTATCCTGGGGAAACCAGGACAAAGTGTTTAGGAATACCTTCTGCTTCTCTTTATGACTACAGGTGAATATAATAAGGAGTTAAGTTCTTGTGCAAGCTATTTGCTTGTAAGCACTGAAAAGATTTCAGAATATAAGAAATGAATTGAGGGGCTGGAGAGATGGCTCAGCAGTTAAGAGCACTGACTGCGCTTGCAGAAGACCTGGGTTCGATTCCCAGCACCACATGGCAGCTACAAACTGTCCTTAACTCCAGTTCCAGGAGAATCCAAAGCCCTCTTCTGACCTCTGCGGCATTGCATGACATGGGTGCACTCACATACATTCCGGCAATACACTCATACACATAAAAAAATAAAATATTTTTTAAAAATTTAAAAAGAAATGAAATGAAAATGAGAATAAACGTATACAGTCAAACAAAAAAGCACTAGTTTGCTGAAGTCTATGTTGTAAGAAGTGATAAAGTAGGAACAGAGAAAGAAAGGTACACAGAAAATTGGGAAATGTCCAGAATTTCTTTTATATTAAAATTGTGTTAGTGGCCTCGGTTGTCTCGTGCAGTTTATTCCATAATATGAACACGAGTCAGAGATCATCATAAGATGAAGGAGGATCTCCAAATTGCCTCTAATACGATGCTAGGAAGAACAGTGGAAAATAGGAAAGTGGAATGGAAAATAGCGGCTGTCAGAGAACAGAATTCTTACTAATGAAGCTACATAACATCAACAATGCTGTTGAAAGGAATTAAAACTCCAGGGAAAGAATGGAAAGACAAAGTTCTCCTAATTATTGGATTAAAGGATTATAGTCTAAATGTGTCAACGGGATGACAGTAACTTTATTTTTACTAATTTTAATTAAATTTTTGTGCATTTCATACAACATATCTTAATCACATTTACACCCCCTCCCTTAGCTGCACCCCCTTTAATGCTCCACAGTATTTCATGCATTCTGTCATATATGTTAAAGCCTATCAAGTCACATTTGTGTCCCTGGATGTCCCTCAGTGTGAACTTATCCCCTGGGGCACAGGAACATCTTAATAAATGTGTCGTTCATGGCTTCCTTCTGAGGAGTTTTCTTAGAGCTCCCATTAGGTCCTTGTTCCTCAGACTGTAGATGAAGGGGTTCAACATGGGAGTGACCACGCTGTACATCACAGATACTCGTGCAGCTAATTGTGAGTTTTGGGTAACAGAAGAACTAAGGTACACACCCAGGAGTGTGCAATAGAATAAGGAAACGACTGAGAGGTGAGACGCACAGGTGGAAAATGCTTTGTACTTCCCCTGTGATGATGACATTGCACGTATGGAGGAGACTATCTTAGAATAAGAGTAAAGGATGCCAGCAAGGGGACCACCAGCCAGAAGCACAGCTGCAAAATACATCTCTATGACATTAGGAAAGGTGTCATTACAGGCAAGAAGTACCAGTTGATTATACTCACAAACAAAGTGGGGGATTTCCAAGTCTGTACAGAAGGCCAGCCGTAGTGCCATTGAGCATTGTAACAAGGAATTCAAAGCAGTTGTGACCCAGGACCCCAGGACCAGCAATCCACAGAGGCGGTGGTTCATGATAACTGTGTAGTGCAGGGGGTGACAGATGGCCACGTATCTGTCATAGGCCATCACAGCTAGAAGAAAGTTGTCCAGGATTCCAAACGATATGAAAAAATATATCTGGGTGATACAGCCTTCGTATGTTATCATCTTGCTCTGCTTCTGTATATTTACCAGCATCTTTGGGATGCTAGTAGAGGTGAAACAGATGTCAGCAAAGGAGAGGTTGGAGAGGAAGAAGTACATGGGTGTGTGCAGATGCGAATCTGTAATTGTGGCCACAATAATGAGCAGGTTTCCAAGCAGAGTGACCAGGTACATGAACAAAAACAGCCCAAAAAGAAAGGGTTGCCATAGAGGATCTTGTGAAAGTCCCAGGAGAATAAACTTTGAAACATGTGTGTCATTTTGAAGCTCCATATAGCTAAAATGTAACCAAAAAAGGACACAATTATTATGCAATTATAGAACATTAGCTTGACAGAAAAGCTAAAGTTCATCCTCTACCTTTAGCATGGTAATGCTTGTTTTGTGTATGAGTCTATATCACGTTTTTGGGCATTCCCTTGTATAATGGGTTTGGGGCTACTATCTCGCTCTAAGTCTGTCCCCATGAGGACTTGTATTACAAAACTGAATTCTTTAGTATAGTTGGGAAATGCAGTGTAATACTGATCACACTCCAGGCAATGATTGATGAGTACTGATAGAGCAAATGTCATCCCCAGCACTAGGAAAAAATGTTTAAAAGTCCCTAAAACCTAGTGAGAGAGTGATAATTGAAGAAAATGAAAACAAATATATAAATAGGTAAAGAAAAAAAATCACGCAGCATGCCAGATAAGAACAGTTAGCAAAAAAGATGAGCATGTTACGGGCTTGTGTGCAGGCAGTTATTTTACACTGGGTGTCAAGGCAGGAGTCTTGAGAGTCACAACGTTTTCTGGAGCAGCATGTGCATGGAAGTAAGGCTCTGAGGAAGTGGCTTGTTTCAGGTGTCCAGGATCTAGAGGGAGCCAGTGTGACTGGAGAATGAGCAAGAGGGGAAGGAATGAGAGCTGGTGTCAAAACATTGAAAAACACTATGCCGCATTACCGCTGAAGCTTCAAGACTCGGGTCTCTGTCCAGATGTTTTTGCATTTACCTTTTATTAAGGGAACTGTGCAAGTTGAAATGCATTCTCGTTTATTTCCTTGTGTAGCCTTATTTTCTAGACTCTGAATTTTGGATTAAGTTTCAGAATATACGGTGACTGTATCTCTTTTCTCTAAAATATAATCACTCCTCTAAAGGCTAACACATTTATGTATACACACACGCACACATGCACACACACATGCACACACACACACATGCACACACCCCAGAGATTAAACACATTTTACAAGCCATGATCTCCTAGGGCCATGTTTGTAGAATGCTTATTTCTAATCTTGTCCAACTATTTAGAGGAACTGAACAAGGGAAGTTATCAAAATCACTATTTCTCTCTGCAAGCAATATAATATTGATATAAAAAATTCAACTTTGTAAATCTTCTATACGTACTGCCTTGAGATGATATGTTTTGTGGTCGTTTTATGCCTTATTGTTAAAAGAATATAATAAATCAGTTCCATAAACAATGACAGATAGATACAGATAAGAAAAAATTTCCCTGAAGGGAATATTGTCTAATTAGTTCAAGTGGTCCCTGAGAGACTGGGAGGAAGGGAAGATTCCGTGATTCTGCCCATATTTCAAACCCAGTCACATCCCCTTGTAGACTCACAAAAATAACAAAACATCTAACAAAAACTTCTCAAAAGACAAAATATCATATAAATTTGATGCCCACACACAGGTTGAAGTTCCATTTGAGGAAAAAATGGAAAAGGAAAACAATGAAATACAAGAACGTTTTTCCTGCACTAGTCACACTACTGTGCAATAACATTCCTGAAAGTATTCTCCAGACTTACTGTGACCCATCACTGACCCAGGTTTCCCCCTCTGTTACTTCCTATTTGCTAACCTCTGGTAACTGCTATTCTACTCAGCTTCTGTGACTCAAATTGTGTTAGAATCCACAATGAAACATAATTGATATTTCCAATTTTGTGGGATGAACTAGACACAGAAAGTTAAATACCAATAGGTTGTCATATGGACAACAGCAGGTGGGACTTCTGTTTTCCCCTATGATGTGTTTTCTGTATTACTTTGAGCTTTCAGGATTTATCTTTTGAATAATTTAAATAGGCACATTCTCACTGAGGCTGGGCTCTTCATCCAGCACCCAGAGCCTGCCCGATCAAGATAAATAAAATCCTGTACTCACTGACATTTACCCCTTTTACTCCAAATAAAATGCAGAATATGTCTGATCTCTTAAGACATTACATCATGTTCACATTTATTACACTGTACTCTTTATTAAAATGTTAAAAATCCCAAATGACCAGGTTTCTGCTTTGTTCTCATTTCTATTTTTAGAGTTATGCAAATCTCTTTTTATTATATAGAATAGTCCATGAAAAGGAGAAATTATGAAAT